GTGGAGGTGCTGCTTCCTTCATGTACCGGACGCCCCCGTCAAGCCGTGAACCCAGCCCACGTCGCAGAGAAGACACCGACGCCAACCAGGAGCAGCGAACAAGCCGCCGACAGCAAGGGCTACCACCGGAGTACGGGCTTCTACAAGACAAGGCGTGGAAGACCAAGGCCATGACCGCGACTGCAGCGACAATGACAACCGCAGCGTCCCAGCCCACGATGGTCATGCATCAACCCAGGGAACCACCAATTTTCCATGGGTCATCGTTCGAAGACCCAGAGTCCTGGCTAGAAACATACGACCGTGTGGCCACCCTCAACCACTGGGACCATGACGAAAAGCTGCGTCGTGTGTTCTTTTATTTGGAAGACACCGCAAGGACCTGGCTCGAAAATCGGGAGTCCATGCCCCGAACGTGGGATGTTTTCTGCGGCGCATTCCTGCAAGCGTTCGTGAGCGTCGCTCGCAAAGAGAGTGCCGCTGCTTTATTATAGACCCGGGTTCAGCTACCAAATGAAAATGTCGCCTTTTTCACAGAAGAAATGACCCGACTATTCCGTCACGCTGACCCAGAGATGCCTGAGGACAAAAAAGTTCGTTTCCTCATGCGAGGGGTCAAACAGGAGCTCTTCGCGAGACTGATGAGAATCGTGTGGTGTTTTGAGACGATAACAAAAACTTGGGAAATGGAACGTGGCAATATGGAGGTCTACCGCAAGAAAAGCTAGACGAACCATTCAGCGAAGCTGAAATACGGTATGCTCTACAGCAACTCAATGGCGAATCGGCGCCAGTGCCAGATGGCATCGATAATAAACTACTAGGAATTTAGACGATAAAGCAATTGTAATCATTACTAAGAAGACAAATGAGACATGGGAAACTGGCACCATGCCAGAAGAATGGCGTAGTGCCAAGGTTTCGCTCATCCCGAAACCTGGAAAAACCGCTGAGCATCGATAACTTAAGGCCCATATCGCTCGCATCTTGCGTTGGAAAAGTAGCTGAGCATGCAACATTCAACCGTATCACAGACCACACTGAGAGTAATGGGCTCTTTCGACACAACATTATTGGCTTCCGCAGGGCACTATCCACACAGGACGCCATGTTGATGTTAAGAGAACACATATGTTACGGCCTCCTCCACACGCCCAAAGCCATATTAGCCCTGGACCTCGCCAAGGCCTTTGACACCGTAAAACATGAACACATACTGGGTGAAATATCGCACATGAACCTAGGCGAGAAATCTACAACTATATTAAAGGCTTTTGGCGATCCGAACCGCCACCATACGCATAGGAGAGCAATGCGGCGAACCCGAACGACTCGGAAGTATCGGCACCCCACAAGGGCCAGGGCTCTCGCCATTGATCTTTAATGTGGCGATGCACAGGTTGTCAGAGAAGCTCGCTCAAATCCCATTCGAGCTCCATGCCATATACGTGGATGATATTACCATATGGGTTCCATGTGGCCACTCATATGGTGCCTTGGAAGGAATCCTTCAACAAGCACTGACTACAACTGAAGAATTTCTTAAGCCAACTGGACTCACACCCCCCCCTCAAATCTACTCTAACGCTCTTTCACCCTCGACGAAATTCGGGCGAAAAAGAGCAGCAAGTGCTGCTCAAAGCTGAGAACAACCAAACGATACCGCAAGTATATACAGTCAAGGTACTAGGGCTAACGTTAAGCGCCAAGGAGGGCCACAACAAGGAAGCACTCAAGCGCCTTGAAAAAAGCACGAACAATTTTGCAAGAGGAATTGCTAGAATCGCCAACAAGAGAGCAGGCCTTCTAGAAGAAAACATCATGAAGGCGTATCACGCCTTTCTCGTAAGTCACGTAGCATACGCGTTCCCGTTACTGAAACTCACGAAGGCTCAAATCAAAACGGTCGACTCCATGCTCCGCAAGAGACTGAAAACGGCTCTCGGCTTGCCCAATAGCACGAGCAACGAGAAACTCGAGCAACTTGGTCTGCACAACACAAGAAATTTTTGAGGCTCAGAGAGTGGCACAGATCACACGCCTGTCGTTGACGCAGGCAGGCTATCTCATCCTACGAGACGCGAAATTTGCCCCATTTTTCAACCAGAGAAACGAACACAACTTGGTAATGACGTGAGGAAACACATTAGGGTCGAGCCAATCCCCCGCAATGTTCACCCTACGTTCAACAAAGGGCGAAGGAAGGACAGAGCGAGGGCGCTCATCAAAAGGCAAAAAACACGACACGCACGCGCTATTCGTAGATGCCGCCCGCTACTATGGCAGGGAGGCGTTTGTCATAGTGGTCATTGATATAGACGTAAACCTCATAAACGCGGCAACCGTTCAAACAAGCCATGTCCACGAAGCAGAGGAAATTGCGATCGCGCTGGCCTTGCAAAGCTGCCAAGCCTACTCCACAATATACACAGACTCTAAGACGGCGGCACGAACGTTCGCGGCTGGCCTAGTAGCTAGAAGCACTAGAAAACTAACCGTCAACGCAATTAGAGAGTAGGAGAGCAAAGAAACCCTTGTTAAAAAAGAGAAAGCTCAAATCTACGTATCCTGGTTCCCAGCCCACATGGGACAGTTACCGGGACTCGACCACTGCAATCCCAACGAAGAGGTCAACCGCCTGGCGCGTGAGCTCACACGCCGCACCACGGACAACGACCCCTCGATGAGTGAGCGGTACGAGAATCTCTGCAGCCAAGACAAAGCACTCACATACCACGAGATCACTTCACATTACCGGAACAAAGACATGCCTTCCCAGCACCGCACCTAAAACTTAACAAAGCACAAGCTCTAACTCTCAGAAGATTGCAAACACGTACGTACATAACGCCATCCACCTTACACAGAGTCGACCCCGACACACCACCCACATGCTCCCTTTGCAACCATCCCTATTGCAATTTCGAACACATGCTCTGGCTGTGCCCTACCCATAGCGCAGCACAACTGAACACCCAAGAGGCTTGGCAGGAAGCCCTCAAGAGCAATCAATACAAGTAGCAACTACAGGCGGTCCAGAAGGCCCGGGACATCGCTACAAGCCTTCAGCTGCCAGCGCCATCCTGGGCGGAGCCTCCAGGTTGAATTAAGGGTCGGAATGGCCCTTTCTTAGCCTCCTCAGAATATGTTTAAATAAAGTCATTCTCTCTCTCTCTCTCGTTTATTTCTTGTAATGTTCGCTTGACGGCGATACTTTTATATGCTAAATATATGATGAAAAGATGCGAGATGGCGGTACTTAGAGTGTTCTTAGATGGACGGACAGACGGACAGAAAGATGCACGGACGGACACATGGATGGATGGATGGATGGATGGATGGATGGATGGATGGATGGATAGACGCATGGACGGACGCACGGACGAATGCAGAAACAGACACACAAGTGGACGCACAGACGGCCGGACGCACGAGCGGACGGGCGGACGGATGGACGGATGGATGCACGAACGTACGGATGGATGAACGGAGGATCACCAAGACGGACGCATGAACGGACGGAAGCAAGAAGGAACGGATGGACGGATGCTTCGCCTTACCCATCATCATGCACTCCATGGATATGCAGATGCAGCAGGCCAAGGAAGCTGCCGGGAAACGTGGTCTCTCTGTTGTCCCCTAGGTTGGAACCCATCCCAGCAATCTGCCGGAAAAAATAAACTCTATATCTCTCTTAAGAGAAGGTGATTTGGCCATTTTTGTCCGCGCACAGGCGTGTCGCTTCTCAGTCAAAGAAAGCCTCCCGCAGGTCGACAGGCGAAATAGCGGTGTACACCAACATCACGTGATGGGTTCACAGCCACGTTAGCAGTTCGGCATCGCAGGAAGTTTCAACTTACAACTTCCGCATGGGGAGGGCACGAATTGTACGAATACCCGAACTGCAGACCACTTTAGAAGAGCAGCGCCGACAGCTGACCCGTGAGAAAACTGATTACAATTCAGCAGTCCGGCCACAAGAAAAGGCCCGGATGACGAACCTCAAGCAGCAACTGCGCACCGACGATGCGATAACAAGGACAGAAGCGCGTTCGCCGCAGGCCGACACCCGCTTCTGGTGGCATTGTCTCCAGCGACTTCTACAGTGACGTCTGCAAACACCTGTGGTCGCAAGTTTCGGCTTCACTGGTTAACCATGGTACAAAAGGCTTGAACGGTGATAATTAATAATACGCTAGTACGCATGAACGCATGCGGCAGGCATTGTGAAATCATGACCCGAAGCTTACCGCTGCCCTCAAACGGAAAAGCACATCATTATTGCAATGTGCCATTATACTAACGTATGGGGCTGAAACATCGGGGATTATGAAAACACTCCCGAAGAAATTGAATGCGGAAGGTTTGGTGGAACTGAAAATGATATGCATGGCATTAAGAGATAGGAATATAGCATAGTAAGATAGAGAACACACTGAACTTTGTTATATGCCAGTTCACCATAAGTGAAAACAATCGGAGAGGACGCTAATCTGTGACTGAGGTTATTCAGAAGCTTTAGCTGAAGTTTCTTGTAGTAGTCCTATCTCGTCGGCGTTCGTGGGCTTTCGTGCAATTTCGTTTAGCCTTGCGTTTATCACGCTGCCGAAGCGAATACGAGAGGCCACGAAGAATCGAGGCATGCTCTAAATCTGCTCTGTCAGGCATCAGGGCATTCAAGGCTGTTAAGAGCGCTTTAACGAACTCAATATTTACTTTATTTATAACACCTTTTATTCGGTCTTTGCGTAAAGTTATGAAACGATGTCAAACGAAACTTTTAACATCAACCAGTCATTCTATTTTATCGAGCTATTGCCAAATATTTGCAAAGCCTTACGGAGAAGGCTGACTGGAAGTGCTTCAAAGAAAAACAAGAGTGCTTGTGCTACACAAAGAGAAACGAGGGTAGGCTGTGTGCATTGCGAAGGGCAGTTGACTAGCGCACAGATCAAACAGCGAAGATCGTGCTTTTAATCAAAAAAGACAAAAATTGCTTGTGGGGGTGCCGGGATTTGAACCCGGGACATCTCACATACGAAGCGAGCGCTCTATCACTGAGCTACACCCCCAGACAAAAGGAATGTGTTTTTCTTCAACCCCACGTGCAGCACTAGATACAAACAGTACAGTTTTTGTTTAGAGAATATTGTTTACCAGCTCAAGCTTGTCGCATTAGTAAGATGCAGTGATGCTGGAAACCCCTGGGGCATGGTGTCCTGGGGCTCGTATGGGGGTCTATGTCAAACGCGATTTAGAGACGCTACCACAATTTCCAAGACCGTCGCTTCAACTAAATGGTGTCAGTTAATCAAACAAGGTGTCACTAGAACAAAAATCGCCACTACCACGACGACAAAAGATGTGTGCTAAGTGTGGTCTAATATGTTTTCTCGCCTAGGAAAAACCGGGTCATACGCACACACACAAAATTGGCCACACTGCCAATTTTTCAACTTTAAAAGAAAAATGGCAGTAGACATTTAAAGAAGCGAAGAGAATGGGGAAACGCGGTAAATGAGAAAACGTGAAGTAGGTAAAGCGATTCGAAATCCATCAATAAAGAGAAAAAAAGAAGCAAAATAGGTTTTGTTATCATTGGTTGAGATTTTTGTGTTTTCGTTTGCTCTTCTTTCACTAGAACGTCACATTAGTGTAAGCTCGCGCAAGAAGATTTAAAGGCTTGAAAACCATCTCAGCACTAATGGAGCCACAGCTTCTCTAGGCGTCGACATAAACTTGTAATGGCGACTCCCCGCTTTCAGTATAATTTTATTTTTTTTCTGCCAGATGTCGCCAGTGTTGTAGCGGACGTCAATAACGCTGTGTAGATTGCAGGAAACGTCGAATATTTCGCGTTTCCGGCTCCATGGCCCTAAAACACCAGAACGAACCGTTTATTCAGCGTGATAGTCAAACAAACCGAAAAGTAAGCGGGTGGATGGATGAATGGAAGAATTCTGTTTCTATTCCTGAGAAACGATAGCGGAAAATCGCTGTTATTCAGTTGACCTGGAGACTTTAGGTCCTGTCAGCCGCTTCGGCTACCTCCTTGATCTCGACTTGTACTGAGAGGTCTGATCTGAGCTGCATGTACAACCGCTGCTGATACATAACAATTGGAAGACAGACCCATAGTTATGAGGGTGTCCCAGGGGCCCACGCCCCTTCCCCACCTTCCCCAATATTTTGATGGAAGGGGGCGTTTTACTGAGGACATACAATGAGAAAGATGTTTTTGAAAACCTTCAAGAAGTTCCCCCCTCCTCCCCAAAAAAAAAACTTCTGACTACGGTCCTGTTGGTAGCAACGTGGATTACTGAATGACTGCACCTCAGCGTAGTCCCATAGTGTGCTAGATGAGATTTGCGGCTCTGCTAGGCGGTAACAGCCTTTAGAGCAATATGAAAAAGTTACTGCTGGAGTAAGTGATACAGATTGAAAAGACGTGCACTTGAAGTTGCTTCCAGACGAGTTTCTGAATTTTCGTAATCTTGCCTTTGTAACTCTGCACAGCGCGTGTACTTGACAAGTTAAACCCAAGCTTCACTATTTCTCGGTCACGCAATTCCTAACGTGCCTGTGCTCGTCGCTGGGCTGGCCACCCAACACGGACACCTGATAATATCAAGTTAAGCAACTGTGTTTTTGTTGGTCTATAGCTGCCTTTAAACGGGAGCATGTTTGGAATGGTGTGATAGTTCCTATGTGTGTAGTCGCTTTTTATAATAATTGATGTTGTTTACTAAAGAAGATACAGTTGTCGATAGTCTGTGTTTTCGTGATTTTATTTGTATTCTGCGAGTTGAAGAGAAACAGATCTTTGTGTACACGGGACCAACCATGAGGTCCAACCACAAAGAACACACTTTTGTTGCTGGCGCTCGCAGCCACCAGTGCCGCCCCAAAGCTTACAAACGAGGCATGTTGGGCAGAGATAGGTACATAAATAAGGTGGTTATAATATATTCAAACCTGCAAGGTCTCTTCCAATTTTTTCAGTTATCTGTTGCAGTGCTCTTTACCTCACTTGAAGTTATTTTTTTGACTGCGAAAAAAAAGTGGTTCCAGAACACTTCGAAGGGGCCCCGCAATGCTTTTTCGAACCATAATAGAATACTCTCGCTATTAGCTCATAACGTTTTACAATCAAATATCGTATTTTTGGGAATCCGTCATGCAACAGATGAATTACTCGGGACTACTGCATATTTCAAGGGCTTTCTGTTTCATTTTTTACCAGAGAGGCATGAGAGGGGGATGTAAAGAGGTCAAGAGGATGAGTCCCACTATCAGCGGGCGTCATGATCATGCAGAAACATATTTTCGTAAAGAGTGGCCACTCGAGACTTTTCGCAGCCGAGCAAGAAAGAGTCTGACCGCGGTGTAAGAATGAATTAGGCTATGACACTGCGCCCAGCGCCGCGTCCAGATTGTGTTCGCCGCCGACAGATGGCGCTCGTGGAGGGTAGGACCCGTGGAGGGTAGGACTTGGTCGGCGCAGTGGTAGAGGTCGGACGTGTTTTTGGAGAGCTCCGGAATGACAGCTACAGATAAGTGTTTTTGTACGTTTTTTTTTAGTATTTTGTACTGTGTCTTTTTTTTCTCCAGCCACCACGTGGCTGAGGCCTGCGCGTAGACCGACCACGTGCATGCGCAGGTGCTGTGAAGTGTAGCGTATTTATTTATTATTGTGGTTCTTTTTGGCTTAGACCAGTGTATTTTAGTACAGTTTTCTAACACGTGGGCATCGGTAAACTGAGCTAGCCATGGTCAAAAAGACCGTAAAGTGTTCAGAGTGCGGGGTAGGGTGGAAGGTGGAAATTAGTGCGGAGGAGAAAGCAGAAGATGACGCCAAGTGTAGACAGTGCGAGTTCGAGGAGAAAATGAAAAATATGATGGCGGTCCAGAGTGGGCTCATGGAGAAAATCGCAGAGCTGGAGAATGCATTGGCGAAGGAGCGAGAGAAAACGTCAGCCATGGAAGAAAGGCTCCGGGCAGCCGAGAAGGGCCTATCGAAGGTCGTGAAAGGGAACGAAGACGCAGGTGACGGCGGAAGCATTATGGCGACGACCCCCCGTGCGGGAGAGATGAAGGAAACAGGCATGACAAAGGCAGATACATTGGCCACAGGGCCCAGCTACCGGGAAGTAGTTTTGAGGGAGGGAGGGAGCAAACCAGCAGCTGTGACTCACGCTAGTCACCTAGTCAGCAGCCAGGTGCAGGTTTCAGAAGGAATGTCTGAACAGGTCATCATCGCCGGTGACTCAAATTTAGTCCGATGCGCAGCGGCAATCAAAGAAAGGGTGAAAGGCGACAAGAGAGTTGCGATAGGGACGTTCCCAGGACAAACGCTGGGGACAGTAATGAGTCAAGCGGGTGAACAACTCGCAGCTAAAGCTAACAATCGTAACCTCGTTGTAATTGCGGGAGGGTTAAATGACGTCCTAAAAAAAGAATCGTCAGGACTAGCGACGACCTTGGCGAAAGGGGTGGATGACATGCGCACCGTGTCCCCCCAGGTGCAAATTGTAGTATGCACAGTACCAGAAGTACCAGTACGCAACGTCAACCTGCAAAGAGCGGTTGTCGACGCAAACAAAGAGATATGGCGAATTAGTCGAGAGAAGGGTTTCGAGGTAGTGGATTTAAACAGGGAAGTGCACAGGTGGGGTGGATTCCAAAGAGACAAGATTCATTTCGATAAGAGGCTTGGACACGAGGTGGGCTGGCGACTGGCAGGACGCGCAGTGGCTTTTTTGGGGGGCTCACGGGCCCTTCGGAGTCCGGGGTAGCTCGTAACAGGGAAAACAACCAGGAGGACGCTTTGACAGGTAGAATTGCGAAAAACCAGAAAAAAGGTAAAAGAAAAAGGAAAAAGGCGCGTGTTGCAATTAGTTACATAAACATGCAGGGTGGCAGAAAGAAGGCAAAATGGTTAGAGATTGAGGAGCAGTTAAACAAAGAACAGATAGGCGTGTATGCGGTTACAGAAACACACCTTAGAGACTTAGAAGAGCCACCACATATTAAAAATTATGTTTGGGAAGGGTGTAACAGGACCATATCGGAAAGGAAATGTGGGGGTGTAGGAATGCTAATTCACCGCGGAGCCAAATGGGTTAGAGTGAAACAGACGTGTTCAGAGCACCTCTGGGTTCTGGGCACAGTAGGTGGAAAGGAAACGTGGCTAGGGGTAGCCTACTTGTGGACGGGGAATAACTGCAGAGAAAAGAATCAGGAGATAGTGGATTGCATGAGTGCGGATATTAAGGAATTTGGTAATGGGGCCGAAATCATCCTTCGAGGGGACATGAATGCCCACATACATGACCTTGACGGATATTCAGACACCAATGGGAAGTTATTACTAGATCTTTGCGAGCAACATAGTCTGGAGATAGTTAACACGGGGCCTAAATGTGACGGCCAGATCACATGGGAAGTCGGAAACAAGCAATCAAGTATTGATTATTGTCTCATGACTGAAGGAATTTACCACAAACTGACAGAAATGAGGATAGACGAGGAAGGCATTAACAGCTTGGGTAGTGATCATAAACGAATAACATTACAAATGGGATACGAAACTGAAAATATGAGCATGGAATCAAAGTCTGGCAGCTCGTATTTAAATGACAAACAAATAATAAATATAGCCGCAAGAGTCGAGGAAGAAGTAGGCGAAATACCAGGCAAGGACTGGGAGTATAGTGAGCTGTTACATCTAATGACGAAGGAGATAGGGAAAGAGAAGAAAACTGTTTGCTGGAAAGGAAAAAGGAAGCCAAAAAGTTGGTGGAACAAGGAAATCCGGGAGGCGATCGAGAAGCGACGCGAAGCATCACGGGAGCATAGAAAGGCAAAAAAGGAGAAGCGGCCGCAGGGCGAAGTCAAAAAAATATGGGAAATATATTTAGAGAAAAAATCCCTTGTACAGAAATTGGTAGAGGCAAAAATTGAAGGTGAAAGTGAACGCTGGATGACAGAGATACACGAAAAAAAGGAGGCCGCGCCTAGGATTTTTTGGAGCCACATAAAGGCGCTAGGTAGGAAGTCTGTCACAACCCAA